TTTAATCTAAAAAGTTCTTATACCAAGAGTTATTTTGAAGAACGTCAACGCTGTTACCAAAATATCAAAAGGAAAACAAAATGTATTACTGATCACAAATTGAGTTATTTAAAGGTATTTTAATCATGATTTCATTAGTGCCATGTGCTCTTTGCATTTACGGTAGCAAGTGGAGTTTTTGGCAAAAATAAAATAAAAATAGTCAATTCTGTTACCGTCAAACTCTGTTACCAAGGTAGAGTAACAATGCTGACAATAGTGTAACAGAATTGACAGTCCACCGGATAATTCTGTCAATTCTGTTACTTTACAATTCTGTTACTTAAAGGGTCAACTCTGTTTATGAACTATTTTCACAAAAAAACTATACAATTGTTGTTTAAAATCTCATAAACATTATTGAGTTATGATGCACCCTTATAATATTTCAACAACATTTCTCTTTTTTTTTTACTGGATATTGTATATAATACATTTTCAGATGAAAAATATTTGCTCCAAGTGGACAATTCTGTGAAGACATAGGTATTTTTTTTTATTTTTAAGGTATGTATACGTGAAAAATTATTTCAGATTTTAAATGTTGAAATTTTAAGGACTGTTTGTCTAATGATACAAGAAGGATTTTTCCTTTTAGGATTTATTGTTATTTCTACACATCGCCTAATTTGTCCGTAACAGAGTTGACAAACAATACCATAAAGACGTGTTTTTTCATTAAAAGTAAAAAAAGGAAGTAACTTGTGTTTGGCAAGCACTGAATTATTAAAATTGAATATGTTTTCAATAAGATACTGGAAAGAATTTCTGTTAGTGAACCGTTTTTTTTCTTAACTTTATGAAATGCCAAATGTATCTCCAATTATAGAATCACCCAGGTAGGGAGGGGCTACTTGAATACAGAGCTATTGTTTAAAAAACAACAACAATGACAACAAACTTTACACAGCTTGGCCATTGTTTAGAGTGAAGTAACTTTAAACTGCTTCATGTCGCCGTCATAACCTCTGGCATGCACACTGATTCTAACAGATTGTGTTTTAGGATTTCTGAGCACTAAGACAAATATGGAAATAGTTTTCCTGCAGAACTATTTGTTAAATCTACTGGACAGTACAGCATTTACATTCCATGTTTTAGATCTGGCATAGCATTACAACACTAGCATTTTACAGTCTAGTCTTGTTGGTGAACCAGCATAGCCATAGTTTTCACCACACATCCAAAATGTTTGAGAAGCACTAGTGTAGTGTACTTGTTGCCAACGACAAAACAGTGTCAGTGAAGACCACACATGATATATATGACACATGTGATGTGTAAAAGAGAACTGTAGTGTAAGATGGGGGAAAACAAGAACAATGTGCAAGACCCCACAACTGGGGCAAGAAGCCCCGTCAAAACTTTTGCAGAATGTATAAATGACTTTTGATGTCATATATATAGTTTACTCCATGTTACCCTAACATATTGCCCTTCTTATGGCTTCTTACCCTCACTATATTCTTATTGTGCATCATCAGAAAAATGTGAAAACTATAGGGCCTTTCGCACCGCTTTAGTTCCAGAACTAAATGTACAGTGCTAAAGTACTGGGACGATTTTGCGCGAACTATTTCCCAGTACTATTTAAAGGGTTGCATTCGCACTGACAGTGTGTACTAAGAAGTGACGTAAGCCGGTCGACAGCGTCGTCATCTGTGCGCGGCGTTCAACAACAGAAACTAAGAACAACATTAACAACAGGAGGATGGAGGACGCTGTGATCGGAGCTGTGTTTTTGTTGTGTCTCGCGGGTTTCACAATAATGGACATGGAAAGTCACACAATGTTTGTTCACAAAAAACACAATGTTTGTTTACACGGCGTTTTAAATCATGGCGGGTGAGGGCGTTTTCATACGCGTTTGGCCAATCAATGTCTACTTACGTCACGATTAGTACCAGTTGTGCTGGTTAGACCCTGCTCCGGAGTAGGAGCTAATTTGGTTCTCGAAAAAGGCAGTCCGGTACTAAAATCGCACCCAGTTCCGGCGGTGCAAAAACGCCAAAAAGTGGGTAGTTCCACAATTAGTTCTGGTACTATGAAAAGGTTCCCGCGGTGCGAAAGGCCCTTATGGCTCAGTGGGTCTAGAACTGTTGCCTGTTGCACAGCAAGAAGGTGACAGATTTGAGTCCTGACTCAGCCCGGAAACTATTCTGTGGAGTTCGCATGTTTTCCCCTTGTCTGCATGTTTCCTCTGAGTGCTTCAGTTTCCCCCACAATCCAAAGACATGCAGCATAAGTGAGTTGGAGCTGTTAAATTGTCCGTAGGTGTGATTGTATGTTCTGGAGTGGACTGGCCATCTGTCCAGGGTTTTTATCTGCCTGTGGCCTGAAATGCTGGGATAGGCTCTGGCCCTCTCATGACCCTACAGATGATAGTCGGTTTGGAAAATGGATGGATGGACGCACAGTCGTGTGTATTGTGGGCACATAATAGTTGTCCTACCCTTACCCCTATCAAGACACTTTATTCCTAACATGTTAACAATGTAATTTTTTACTTCACCACAAAGTATTTTAATTTTATTGTGAAAAATTACAGTTCCTGTGTGACATTTATGATGAATTTTTGGAGCGTGTCAGTATTAATCACTGTTCACTTTAATTGTATGTAAAAGAGCAATGTGAACATTCTGCAGAGGTTAGAATGACACTGGTCACTAAGGGTAGATTTACATGACAACAATGTGCCAAAAACAGTAAAGTTTTTCCTTTGCATTTTTGAAAAGTTTGCTTTGTAAAGAAACACTACACGAACGTGTAATACGTATGCACATGACATCACCTTTTTCACAAATTTGTGTTTTTGTTGTTTACATGGAGACGAAAATAGCATTGTTTCAAAAACAAGTTCCGATCACTCAAATTTGTCTCAGGTACTGGGTAAGCCTGGTGTTACAGACGAGCGTTACCACAGAGTTGAGGATCCAAATGCAGGCTTAAAATAGAGCGTAGTTAAAACAGGCAGGGTCAAACACCAGCAAACAACAGTATCCCAGGGCAAGACAAAGGGGTAAACCACAAAAACAGGCAATGGTCAGGGCAAGCAGCAAATTATCAAAAACCAGGAGCACAGGCAAGGCAAGAACAAGGCAAGAAAAAGACAAGGCAAAACAAAGCAAGATAGAAAAGGAAAAAACGCTCAGTTTTTGTCTGCAGTAGTAAAACAAGACTTCGCAATGAGAGTGTGTTAGTGTGCAGCTTTTATAGTCCATTGATGGGAAACAATTGTGTCTGTAATTAGTTCCTAGAGTGGGGATTGTGGAAAATGGAGTCCGGGAGGATATGGAGATGGAGACCTCTGGTGGTGAGCAGAAGCCGCTCCTTCAAACCCCCCTATAAAGGAGCGGCTTCCAGACACTCCAGAAATAACACAGTCCAGGAGGGTGGTGGAGCAGAGGAAGCCAGGGCGGTGCGGACAGAGCAGGAAGCCAGGGCCGATGAAGCAGGAGACCACCAGGGCGGAGCAGATGACCACCACAGATGAGCAGAATGGGA